GCTGGTTTCTGGCATCTCTGCTAGTTTTGAAAGGATAATACAAGGGTAGTTTTCTTGACAGATTCCTGTAGGTCTATAATTTTAAAGCTCAAGGGGGCAATAAAGATCATCAACCACTCCCCCCAGTACAGATAAGGAAACTGAGGTGAATATTTCTCAGTAACCTTGCACAAACTCCACTAACGAGTTAGTAGCAGCACCTGAACCAACTCTGAAGTACCTAGATTCACGGAAACAGGCTATTCCTTACTCCTATGCAGTCTAATGATACCTTCTCCAGCTTATTCAACAATTGGCAGGACTGTGCAAAACAACTACCCCAGACTTCCTAGGTCTGAAAGGCAAAATTTGGGTAAAGATGATTACCACAGTCCTGAGTTACCAATTCTTTCTCCAAATACCTAGGTCAGATAACTCAGAAACAAACTTATGAGTACTGACATAGAGACAACATATATTTGCCAAAGAAGAAATGATCATGCGTAATGAGTAATTTATAAAATTATAACATGTGGTCCTAAAAGACAAATATAGTGTGTGAAGCCTGGTCAAGCTTCTACCCAGCCATGTAGATCATGGCTTGACACAGTTTGCTATTTCCACTAAAAAAACATTTGAGAAAACAATGATTTTAGGTTTGTTATTAGTGAGTAATTGAAGGCCATAAAAGGAAGGGACTTGTGACACTCTAAAACCGAAAACAGTTTGTCTATCACAATGAAAACTTGGGGTTTACACAGTTGTTCCTGATAGTGGGGATACTTAAACAGATGAAAGAAAAGTTTATTATCTTTGAGTCTTTTTTTTTAATTGTGAAAATACTGTACAGAAGGGTTACAATTACATGGGCTAGGTAATGAGTACATTTCTTATCAAGCATTGTTGCGTCTTCCTTTGTTTCCCCTTTCCATCCCTTCCCATCTCTCCCACCCAAAAAAAAAAGTTGTAAAGCTCATTTTTTGACATAACATCTTGCACATCTCATTGTTGCAATGGGTCCACCTGTATCCCTATTTAAACATTTTGTTTTTTCCCTTCCCCTCCACAAATTATACCAACATTAAATACAGTGAAAACAGGGGTTATACTGTGGGGGAAGGACATACAAAGCAATAAAGAAATCATCTTATAAATATATTAGAAACAATCATAAGAAAGAAAAAAACATTTGAATCTTTATCTTGGGGTTCATTTCGCCTAACATCAACTTATCTGAGCATATCTGATTGTCTCAGACATATACTTGAGTCTTGAACATAATACTATTTCATATAAACCCATTTATTTTACAAAGTGCAGAGATATACTAATTTTCTCAGATTAAATGCCCCCTACAAGTGAGGAGAGATTCTACTTCTTCTTGTTCAGAAGTTCCACTTTACAAAAAATGAATTTTTAGAGAAAAGATGTAAAAAATTGTATGAGTGGTTAAGTACAGCATATAATATCAGATGCTAAGCAAAGTTGCTATATTAATCAGAGTTTACCAATGGAGCCTAAGATTTTTTTCTTTTCTTTTTTTTTGGGGGGGGTCCGGTGATTGGCCTGAACTCTGGGTACTGTCCAGCTCTTCAGCTCAAGACTAGTGCTCTACCACTTGAACCACAGCACCACTTCCGGCTCTTTTTCTTATGTGGTGCTGAGGAATCGAACCCAGGGCCTCAGGCACACAAGGCAAGCGCTCTACCACTGAGTCACCTTCCCAGTCCCTAAGATTCTTTTTCTAATCATATGTATATATAAATGTATATATGTATATATAAATACAAATGTTCATATTATGATAGATTTTATTATTTGTTATTTTTGGTTATTTGTTTTTCTTTGAGTAATTACTCTGGTCATAATGTAAAGCTCATTTCAATGAAAAACACCAGGTATACTTCAGTACTCATGATTCATGAAGGGCCAAAATGGGAAAACTTAAGACATAAAACTATTTCAGTCTTAAAATTTAGGTATTCCATGAGAAGTGGTGAAGATACGTGGTTCCCGTGCCTCCGCAATAAAAGAGTTATTTGTCTTTATTTCATTATCAATGAGGCATATTAGTTTTATAATTACATGCTTGGCCTATGATATCTTTATTTTATCTCTGTAAATGGTACATATGAAAATATTTTATAAAATATTTATAATAAAAGATACATGTAGTCAAATGTTGTAGTTTGTTGGTAGTAATCTAGTCAAATCACTTGTTGGCATGCACTGGAGCTATACACAATCATTTGAATAGAGATAACTTTGTATATGTATCTTCGAAGACCTTGGAATTTTAATTTAATTTAATTTAATTTTAATTTTATTTTCCCACACATAATAAAATAAACTTAGTTATGGAAATTTGGGTTTTTCTCTAAGTTTGAAGATTTGTGGAAAAATCACACGAAAACAACTAAAGTAATGTTCCATGGGAAAGAAAGATCATAAATCAGCAAACATATTACTACATAATGATTACTACAACTCAGTACGGTTCTGTGGATAGCAGCAGCTTGTAGATAAGTTTCTTGAAAAGTAAATTACTGTATATTTCTGAAGACATATAAAAATTTCAGCCTAGATTGGGTTTACATCGTAATCCAGATTAAGTACAAATCATGTACAATGAATTCATGAATTCATCAGAGTTTCACAAAAGTCAAGAGAACTGTCTGAATAGATGGGACTATCATGGAATAGCGTATTAGCATCCCACAGCCAATCAACAGAATGGAAGTTAAGTATGTTACAACATTTCAATGAAGTAATCTATTAATATAAACACCTATATAATTTTCAATTTTCTTTTGAAGTCTCTCTTCCTGGGACTTTTAAGTAAACTGCAAGGTTCAATAATATATTTTCTCAATGGAGACAGATGGATAACTGATTTTTTAAAATAATTTTTCATAATCTCTTGGTTGAATAGAATTTTTCTAATTTTGTAGGAAGCTAGTTAAAATATTTTAATCAAAATCTATACCCTATTATTTCCATATGCACTTAGTTTATATATGACCCCATTTTAATATTGGAATTACCAACTATATAAATGATGGGCCTGTGATCATGTGTATTACAAAGCTTTAGATTAGGTCAAGTAGATTAGTTGCGTACATTTCTAAGTGGAAGATTATACATAAGACATAAATATTTCAAATTTCGTAATAGGCTCATTCATTTAATAAAATCTGTTGGATGTTTCCCATATTTGGATATTTCTTAGAGATTGCTATATTAAGATAACTGCAAAAGGTGCAACCTGCCCCCTTATTCTCTACTATTATCTATCTCCTCCAGGGAATACTAAACAAGTGAAACACATGCAATGTCCATAGGATTAACTGTAAATGATAATAATGTCTTTGACACTAAGACTTTCATGTCCAGAAGCTAGAATAAGTAAACCAGGAAAAACACATGTTTGGAAATCACAATGAATTATTTTTCAGTTCATTACCCCACAGGAAACATTTACAATACCTTGTTTGCCTGGATCATTATCCAAAAATACATATTTTAACATGTCTACAATCTCTAAAACTACCACTGATGGAATAGCAAAGAACACTCATTCTTAGGTGTCTGCATGAAGTAGATTTTTCTTTCTTAGCATGTTATTTGTACAGTATTAAGAACTTGGAAAAAATTATATTAAGTGAAGTAAGCCAGACCCAAAGAAACATAGGCCCTGTGGTTTTCCTTATTTGCAATAACTAGTATATGTCTGAGACAAGCAGAAACAGTCAGATAAGTTGATGTTAGGCTAAATGAGCCCCAAGATAAGGACTCAAATGTTATTTTTTTCTTTCTTGCTATTGTTTCTAGCACATTTATAAGATGATTTCTTTGTTGCTTTGTATGTTCCTCCCCAACGGTACAACCCCTGTTTTCACTGTATTTGATGTTGGTATAATTTGTGGAGGGGAAGGGAAAAAACAAAATGTTTAAATAGGGATACAGGTGGACCCATTGCAACAATGAGATGTATAACACATTATTTCGAAAAACGAACTTTACAACTTTGGTGAGGCGGCAAGTGATGGGAAGGGATGGGAAGGGGAAACAAAGGAGGAGGCAACAATGCTTGATAAGAAATGTAGTCATTACCCCTCTGTATGGTATTTTCACAATAAAAAAAGAATGTTATGCACATTACTAAATAATGCAAAGCTATTACTCTTAACTAGTTAATGAAATGATGAAATATTTTCATCTTGGGGATACGTTTACATTGTTGCATCTAAAATAGATTTGCTAGGGTAACAAGAAACATTGTCATTCACAAAATGTTTCTGCCAAATGGACAGTAAGCAGTGTTTGCTGGCAGTCTGCTAGTCAGACTTTTCATATCTCTATCAAAATATTTAACATCCAACTTGTAGAATGACAAATCACTTATTTAGCTCATAGTTTCACAGATTTAGTTCATAGCCTTAGCTACACTCTTTCTGGGTCTCAGTGACGTGAAAAACATGTCAGAGTTTTCTCCACTCATGACTAATAGGAAGTACAATAAAAAAATTAAACGAATAAAGCAGACTACCTATGTAATATCCAAAGACATGTACTCAGTGGGCCACTTCCTCCTTTTGACTACTTCCAAATCTCTAAAGAGATGAATCCTGTATTTAAGTCATGGTCATCAAGAATAAAGCTTATAACTGATTACTAAACTCCCTGTACATAAGTTTAAGGGAGATTTTCATATTTATATCATAATAGAAATGAACTTTTGCCAAGCACTGGTGGCTCACACAGGTGCTACTCAGGAGGCAGAGATTTGAGGATTGCAGTTCAAAGTCAGCCTGGGCAGGAAGGTCTGAGAGACTCTTACCTCTAATTAACCACCAGAAAATCAGAAATGTCATGTGGCTCAGGTGGTAGAGTGCTCGCTTCAGCCTTGAACTGAAGAGACCAGGGACAGCACCCAGGTCCTGAGTTCAGCACTACAACTAAAAAAAAAAATTAAAAAAAATAAAAATAAAATAAAACTTTTACTTTTCTCTCCACCCGGCCATCTTGTCTGCTGCGTTAGGTTGGGAGACCTCCCGCATCTAAGGCAGGAAGATGGTGGCCGCCAAAAAGACGAAAAAGTTCCTGGAGTCGATCAACTCCAGAATTCAACTTGTTATGAAAAGTGGAAAGTACATGCTGGGGTACAAGCAGACGCTGAAGATGATCAGACAGGACAAAGGGAAATTGGTCATCCTTGCCAACAACTGCCCAGCCTTGAGGAAATCTGAAAAAGAATACTATGCCATGTTGGCAAAAACTTGTGTCCATCACTACAGTGGCAATAATATTGAACTGGGTATAGCATGTGGAAAATACTACAGAGTATGCACACTGGCTATCATTGATCCAGGTGATTCTGATATCATTAGAAGCATGCCAGAACAAACTGGAGAAAAGTAAAGAGTGCACAGTTTTTCTTTTATAAAACTTTCCAGAGCTGTTTAAAAAAAAAAAAAACTAAAACTTTTATCAGCCCATGATATCAATCTATTACATCAAATAAGGGTAAACTCAATTAAAATTTATTATGCATTTAACAATCAAAAAGTAATAGTGTATTCAGAATTAGATCAATTATCCAAGGTTTTTTATTTAAATATGGCATTCTTAAGTAGTGTCAAATATTGCCCACTTTGACTCATTCTAGTTTTGTCTTATGATGACTCTTTGGCAGTAGAAATACATTTTCTTTTTAATTTTTTTACATCTACATTTTATAACGATGGCATTGATAACTAAGTCCACCTGGACTTAGTTGGGAAGTGAAACCTTGTCTAGAAATATGTCAATCTCATAAAATCTTTTATCTAAACAATAATTTCATTTTGTTTTAATTCTTCCATGCAGTGGTGTTTGACATAGAGCCCAAGAACATTTTCTTACTCTGGAAAAAAAAAAGATGATATTAATTTAGAAGCTAGATTTTTCTTCTCTGTCAGTTGACTAATCAAGCATCATCCTATTAGTATTAACCTCTTTCTCTTTGCCTCTAATTTATAGTGTGAGAACAAGTTAGTCTATGTCAACCACAACCTAACACATTATTGTCTCATTTGTTCTGTTACTGAAGGTCATTATTTCTCTCTCCATTGTCAATTACTGAATTGGCACTCAGGCCCCCTTCTCCCTAGGATCTACCAGGATATCATCTGAGACTTTCTTTATTCCTTTTTCCACTAAACTCCAAACTACCCCTTATGTCAATGTCCTTTATTATGATTTGAGAAAATGCATTATGCCAATGACATCCACAGAAGGTTAACCTGACAATTCAGTCGTGGTACCATTGGCCTTACCTAGAATATGATGGATTGAATGCTTGAGTTGATTCAATCAGACACTGAAATTGTAAAGAGGATAAGACCATTCACTTTCCATAAAATTACACTGTTTTTAAGCCTTTAAAATTGACACACCTTGAAAAGTGCCTTACATTATAGATTTTCTTTTGTCCAGGTGCCAATTCTAACTTTGTATGCTTAATTTTTAAGGAAAGTAGAGTAGCTGAACCAGGATAGCATGCATTTGGCAATCATGATGAACGATTTTCCAGTTCATTAAGCCTTAGAATTTAAGCAGTTCTAAATAAGACAAATGTGTTCCCTTTCTTCCAATATATGAGGCATAATTATTTCAAGTTACTTACTTGGCTATTTCATATAAATTTTAGTAGTATGAAGGATGAATGAGCTAACATTTTGGAATGCCAATAGTTAACTTAAACATTCCATCACTTTCCTATATCTCAATAAGTTTGTACTTACCCAGTGGGAGCCTAAATGACTGTGTGCATACTGACCCATAGAAAAATCTTCCCTCCACAAACCCATTCAAATGTAATTGTTAAAATTAGATAGTTGTTTGTGGAAATGCTTTTCTAATCAGTTCTACTACAGTTTTAAAATGTAAATTTTCTTAGATAAAATATTTTTACCAGTTAAAGATTATCTGTATAAGTTTATAACAGGTTAATTTTATTTTACTGCAACACTTGTATGTTAGGCTATCCAAAATAATACTGTCATGAAAAATTATGATATACATGCATACATACATACAATGATACTATCATTTCTTCCTCATCAACTAAGTATTTGAGGTCACAGTGTCAAGCCATATTAATTAAATGACAATAAAACAGTATTTTTTATTTCTTAATATATCATGGCCTAAAACTAGTCTTTTCCAATAAACTATTTATTTTTATTTTTAGTTGAACTCTGGGCCTGGATGCTGTCCTTCAGCTCTTCAGCTCTACCACTTAAGCCACAATGCCACTTTCAGCTTTCTGGTGGTTTATTGGAGATTAGAGTCTCATGGACTTTCCTGCCCAGACTGGCTTTGAACCACGATCCTCAGATCTCAGCCTCCTGTGTAGCTATGAATACAAGTGTGAGCCACCGATGCCCGGCTTTAAACAAATAATTTATAATCTTACCTTCTACATATTTTGCTCAGTGAAGCCTTTTCTATTGACCATTTAAAGTTCCATCCTTTTACTCCTGAAGTTTCTCTGCTTCATTCTTTTTCACATTTTTTATCAATATCAATATACTGTATTAAATTTTTCATTCAGGTATTGATAGTTTTATCTATTAATTTATAATGATTATTGCTTATCATTACAGAAAATCTTGTCTGATTGGTTTTTCTATGTATTTTCAGGGTCCAGAGCTGATTGATAGTCTGAGGGGAAAACGTCTGTGATGTTTTTGTTTCTTAGACAACTTAAAATTTACTAATTAACTTATTATTTTTCTTCTCTTTCTTTATTTTTTTAATTGTGAAAATACCATACAGAGGAGTTACAATTACGTGGGCAAGATAATGAGTGCATTTCTTTATTGTCAGGTACTGTGGTTTGAACTAAGTCTCCAAACCTGATCAGATTTTTTTGTTCTACTGAAGCTCTTCCCACTTGAACCAATGACAGCCCAGCTTTTGGCTGGTTATTTTGAAATGGAATCTTTCCAAACTTCTCTGCTGAAGCTAACTTTGAAATGTGATCCTCTGGATTTCTGCCTCCTGAAGAGTTAAGATGGTAGTTGTGAGCCATCCTAGGTTGAGCAAATATTATTCCAGTAATTTGGTGAAATTTAGATACACACTGTAATGTCTGCCCTGGGAAGTCAAGGCAGATTCCTCCCTCCTCTTCGCTAAATCTCTGTCCAGTAACTGTGTCCTCTAGGTAACTGGCAGTCACCTGGGCAGTCACCTTCCTCTCCTCTAAGGACACATCTTTTGCTGCCCTGGTCATGCACACCCTCACCTCATGCCTTGAGGTCACATCTGCATCTGGTGTGGCCACACTTCCCTCACCTAGCCACACTTCTGTCTGCCCCTTCCCTCTTTAAACTCAGGCTGGGGCAAGCAGTTAGGTACAAAACAACAACAACAAAACACACACAAACAAAAAACTCCTCTTCCTGCCTGAATACCATGTAGTGTTCTCTTTATTGGCTACCTAACTAAATTTGCCTATTTAATTTACCTTACACACACATATGGAAATATTTGTCTGCTTTAAGATTAAAAATGACAAAATATAGTCATCTTTTAGACTCTTCATAATAGAGCTTCAAGGTAACTAGCTTTTAGAATGTTGTGTATTTTTGCATAATTGTCATGATAGAATTTTCCAATAATTGTTATAAAATGCATATAAATATGTTTAAACTTAAGAATGTTATAAAATACAGTCATCTTTTAGGTTTCTTGTAATAGTTTCTAGTTAACTATCCTTTAAAATGTTAAGTGTTTGAAGGCGTAATTATCATGACAGATTTTCCTTAAATTAACATAAAATACATAGAAGTTTATTTTTTTAGTTTATTAAGTCAGTTGCCCCAGTGGAGTTGACATAGTCATAATTCTCATTGGTTGAGATATTTAAAAATCCTGTGACCTTCTGTAATGTTTGCTTTATAATTTTGGCCCATTATTATATGGAGAGAGAGCTCAGTCTCTATACCCTTCTTGTAAGATGTGTGAGGGGAATAAAATAGCAAATAAATGAACACTGAGGCTATTCATATTATTTCTGTGAAGTGTCACAGAAATTGAGAAGGAAATGTATGGCTGTATATCTATCTTAATACTTAAAAATAAAAGTCATAATCCACTTAATACTTCTGGCTTGTTGTAGTCTTGTTTGTACAAAATATTTCATGAAAATTTTTGAAGCACAAAGCCTGTCATGTACTCCTTCAATTGACCAATTCTCAATTTGCAAACACATGGAAGATCTTGGGAGGGCTTAAAAAAAATGTGTCCTTTTGTAGAACAAATTAGATCAGACTAATCTAATTCCCTCTGTGACAGAGTGACAGACCCTGTGGTTGCAAGGAAAGCAGTAGATATAAGATCTTTATTTCAGTCAGGCTTTTAATTCAGTCTCATACGACAATAATTAGGGAGCAGCAAAGCAGAGTTGAGATGCTGCTATTAAAGCATGGGTGTGCAACTACTTGGAAGGTCACACTCTAAGAGTAGTTATTAGTCGGTCCACGCTGCTCTGAGCGATGGGGGTGGATACTGAGCAATGTTTCAGAATCTGTCCTAGTCCATTACTATATCTTTATCAGTGACTGGGATGATTAAGTAGAGCTCTTACTCCTTAAGTTCATGGATAACATCAAGCTGGGAGGGGTAACTGTCCTTGAAAAATAAACTTGAAAATCACAATGACCTTCTAAGATGAAGAAGTGGCTTGTGAAAACAGAGCAAGGGAGTAAAGATTGTGTACCAGGAAAGCAGGCAAATAAACTAGCAAAAATAGTAACAAACTGGAAAAAGTAAGTTGAGGAAATATATTTTTAGGTGGACATAATAGGATAATGCTGTTTAATTAGTGTACCAACCTAATACTTTTAAAGGAGTCAGTGCTTTCAAGTGATTGCCCTACAAACAAAAAGGTAGAATTTTATTGCTATCTATCCTTGTCAGTTAAATTTCCAATCACTTTTCAAGTTATATCTGATGGCCTTGAGTAGCCACTTAGTCATACCCATGTCTTCTCCTATTAGGCTGTATAGTATGAATTTCCTGTAATTTCAGTCATTTAGGAGCTAAGAAAGAAAGATACTTTGTGATCAGTTGTTTAAGGCCAGGCTAAATTTAAGACCAGTAAGAAAGACTTCACCACAGATAAAGACTTCAAACCTTAGAGAGATCCTCAGATTACTTGTTTGCTTTATGGAGTTTCTTTTGTGATTTTTTTTCCTTTTGGTCTAGAGCTTTGAATCATCCTGACAATTTCTGTTGTGCCTTTTCATTCTTTCCCTAAATGTTGCAATCATTATCGTTTCTTCACCATCTAGGTGTATTGATACTAATCAGTGTGCACTGCCTCATTTTGATTATGATCTGAGGGACCTCTGTTCAAGTTGTTAAGTCTGGCCATGGAATCACACTCCTAATTTATATTACCCTACTGCCAGACTTCTACATG